GTGTGTGTGTGTGAGTGTGTGAGTGTGTGAGTGTGTGAGAGAGAGAGAGAGACACATCAAAGTGGAGTCAGCTGTCTTAACCGTGGCTTTGTTGCAAACACATACCAGCTTCATCACTGTGTCTGTCACGTGACTCTGTTCCCCTTTCGGGCTCTGACTTTACATTTATTTTGAAAGATGAAGCTCGCGATTATTGTAAGGGGCGTTACATTTCCGACGAGTGCTTGCGGTGTTCAGCCAATCACAATGCACTGGGTCAGCTGGCCAAGCAGAACAGACTGCACTTGTCGGAAGGAGGGACTTTGTAGAAAATGAAGCTTTTGAGAGAGGCGGGGCATAGAGGACCTACAATAATGTACAGTATTTGAAAAATGTGTTTTTTGAACATTAAAGCATGTCAACATATTCTGTTACACCAAATACACAAAATAATGATCTTTAAAAAAGCATCATAAGACCCCTTTAAAACCGTCTATCAGCAGTAACTGTCAAAAGCTCTTTTAATGAGTGATGTCTGATAGAATTGTCCAGTCTCTTGAGAGCTGCTTAAGTGAGTTGCTCAGAATGGAAATATGAATTATCTCAGAAATTAATTTGCTCAGGTCCTGCTCTATGTCTGAGGACAGTCATTTACACCATGCACTCATCAGGCAGAAAAACAACCTGTCGCACATACTAAAGACTAACTAACCTCTGATTTCCAGTATCAGCGACCCACCCATTCAAGACAGCGCTTGAACCTCATTCATTGAATAGACAGGGCCTGTCACTCCCCTGGTGTGCACTGTGCACTCCTTTTTGTTTCCACAAGGCCAGCAATGTTTTTACCTTTCATTTGAATCACTTTAATAGTCAGTTCCAGCTATATGTTTTTTTTTTTCTCTGAACAAAACATTTTATGCTGTCGTGCTTCTGAAATATTGATGCCATGGAAACAGCCTGAAACAAGTCCATTCTTGGCAATTAGTAAAATGGATTTTGATATTTGTAGCAAATTAGGCTGGGGATGGAGATGATTGACCATAGTTTCTGAAATTTGTGAAGTAGCTTTGAAGTATTAGATTTTTCTTACATCTCTTGCAGAATAATCATCACAAGCAATTATACATGAAATATTGTCAAATGTTTTCCTTTTTGCAGTATTCCTGGAAGTTGGTGCACCCCACAGATAAATACTCCAACAAAGAATGCCCAGATAACGCTGAGGAGTATGAACGTGCCACCAGATACAACTACACCAGCGAGGAGAAATTTGCTCTGGTGGAGGTCAGTACAGCTCAGCTGTGTAGCATTGTGATTATAAGCACCAAATAAATGCACAAACATTTTAAAAGTCATTGCACCTCATGACCTCCACTAAAAATGAATTTTTTGGATGATAAACAACAATTTATTCAGGTTTTTCTTAAATGAATTCTTTACTATACATTTTAATTCATTTTAATTATTATATAATGAAATCGATTTTAATTTGTATAATTATTTTACTTTTTTAAATTTTATAATTTATTTAGAATGACTAAAATGTAGTATTTAACTCTGTGTGGGCCTGTGTTTTGAATCAGTCCTTCTCTGAATGAACTCACTGAATCATATCAGTGACTGAATTGATTTTTGATTACAAATAGGGCTGCACGATAAATCGCATGCGATATTTAATGCGCATCTTGTCAGAAAGCTGGTTCTGTAATCAGCGGTAAATCTCCATCACCTGCGGGCTTTCATATTAAGCAGCATTAACTACACAGAGCCGTTGTTCACTGACGAGCTGCGCAAAAAATTTAGCGAATATGAACGTGGTTTTGCGCAGCTCGTGGCTCTGTGTAGTTAATGCTGCTCAATGTGAAAGCCCGCAGTGATGGAGATTTACCGCTGATTACAGATCCGGCTTTATTGATAAGATGTAGGGATGTAGCGATTAACCGCACTTTAAAACGTCACGGTTAATTAATCGTAAAAGTTCTGCTAAACCGAGTGTTTCCGTTACACGGAATGGAACTGTTGCAGCTTGTGCAAAATTGAAACAAAGTTACACTAGCGGTGCACCAGCTTAAAATGACGTGCTTATCAGAGACACGGAGGCTACTACACGCATTAGATTAACTGTGACAGAGGAACCAAACAGCGAAGCTTTATTTCCACCAGAGAAATGCTTGTCGATAGTGTGGGACCATCTTGCGTGCACCAAGAATGACCAGGGTGTCATTTAAATATTGCCGTAAAAAACTGCTGCTAAAGAGCAAACACATTAGGGATAATGCATGGCTAGCTGTACATTGAACAATTTTAATGCACGACATGAAGCCAAAAAAAACCTGAGGCGAAGCTACGGCTCGTTAGCTCAGCATTCTGCCCGCTTCAGATCAGAAAGAGATGAAATACTGCGGTAATATCACATTTATTTGAATTAATTAATTATAATATTTAGCTACTTGAATTAATTATTCGATCGAGTGAGAGAGAGAGGTGACAGTTGCCTACCTGCATCTGTGCGTCTCTCCAGTAGGCTATTTAATCTATTTTTATTAATAAATGTTGCGGGGCAGCGTTCTCAAGCAGTTTGTGTCCTCCTGAATGTTTGTATACATGCGCAGTGTGATCTCCAATGAACTTACAAGCCAAAATAATAGACATGATTTTCTCAGGCCACATGTAAAATCAAATGAATTATTATAAAGATTTTTTAATTAATATGTATGGATGACAGTTGATTACAGTAATATTTCAGTTTATTTCCATCATTAGTAACAGTTTCCCCTGTGGGATAAAGTTAATATATATTTATATATTAATACTTCATTAACTTTATTTACTATCCCTGTTGTAGTATTATTCATAAGATTTTTTTCACCATGTTTCCAAATTCTCTACCCCAGGTCCAAAAGAAATGTAAAGAATGTACAAACTGAAAACATTAAATACTTTTGTGATCTATTTCCATTTGTTATTTTCAAAAGAGAAATACTGTCATGGATGTCATAAATTCCAATAGGAGAGATGGACTTTTCTTTGTCTTTTGTTTATTATGTTGTGCTGTATTGTTGGTTACTGTGTTATTTCTGTCTCAAAAGCCAGCAAAAAAAATTACGCTTTAATATCTAAAGAGTGTTCATGTGATTTTATACATTAGTAATGTTGTGAAATGAATAAATCGCAATAACCGTAAAACCGTGATTATTCCTCAGACAATAACCGTACCAACAAAATCTACAATCATTGCATCCCTAATAAGATGCGCGTTAAATATCCCATGCGATTTATCGTGCAGCCCTAATTACAAATCAAGAACTTTTGTCATCTTAATGTTCATAAAATGTAATTCAGTGTCATTAACTGACTGAAGTAAACTCCGAAGAGTTTGTGTCCGTGTTCTGGATGTGCTTCTGTCTGCATGTGTTTAGGTCATTGCCATGATAAAGGGCCTGCAGGTTCTGATGGGCCGTATGGAGAGTGTGTTCAACCACGCAATCCGTCACACCATCTATTCAGCTCTGCAAGATTTTGCCCAGGTGACGCTCAGAGAACCGCTGCGTCAGGCCATCAAGAGAAAGAAGAATGTCATCCAGAGGTACAACAGAGCACCAAACTGAATGATCTTCCTGTCTTACAGCTCTAGTTTTGGCTCACTGTGACTTTGTTGCAGCATCCTCCAGGCCATCCGTAAGACCATCTGTGATTGGGAGACTGGCAGAGAGCCACATAATGACCCAGCATTGCGGGGCGAGAAGGACCCTAAAGGGGGATTTGATATCAAAGTTCCTCGTCGTGCCGTAGGACCCTCCACCACTCAGGTATGCAACTCTGTAATTCGCAATACATAGACAATGTAGTAACCCAATTGTGCATACAGAAAATGTATGACAGTAACAAACCTCAGAACTGTTACCTTCAAATGTCTGTAGTTATGATTTGCATTCTGAATGCAGCGGTATGTAATATTTTTCACTTTTCATTTTATAAAACTCTTTACCTGAAACAACCTACCCAGCCATACTGCTATATGCTTTTTCTACCTGTTACGCTGGTTTCACATTGGATGCGCAAGCAGAGCAGAGGCAGCGCAGAAGCGGTGCGTATGCAGAGTGGGAGCAGCTGAACCGCGGCTTGTGTACTGCAAATACAGACGAGTATCATTCATTCGGTCATGCTTTTCAGGTGTTCTCCAACTACTGTCTGTCATGTGCTTTGATTTATGATATGGGCAGCATGCTGTGATGGGATTGTGTTCCGCTATGTGTTCCCCTCTGTGTTCCACTCCCACTTCCCACACGTGCATATAACATGCTGTACATAGGTAGTTTACATGATAAAAGGTAATCTTAAAGTTAATAAATGCCTCTAGTTTTAATAATTTAAACAGGCCTTTGAAGTTTTGGCAATAACTGCTGGCAGTGATGTGTTTTCATGTAGTTGATTCTGTGCTAACTCTAATATCTGATGTTTATTTTTAATGCTGTAGAATTAAGAAGCAAATGAGAATCGCTAAAATTATTGAATATATTTTGAGACAAAGGTCTTCTTAATGATTCCCAGTTTGGTTCAAGATAATTAAAGCAACAGTTTTTCAATAACGAGAAGAATATGTAAAAGTATGGTATTTGGGGTAAAAAGCGCTGAACATGGGCGCTGAAAAAAAAAATGCGCTGCTTACTCGTGCGATGTGAAACTGGCATTACACACAAACACAAAGCTCCCCCAGTGTCATTCAGAAGAGCTTGTAATCTTCCACAAGCTTCTGCCGCAGATGTTGCATTGAAGCATGGTTGATCCGGTGTGCAGTGGAAGGGTGTCGTATTGAATGTCAATAGTGCCTCGGGGATTTGAGCTGTAATCGGTGCTGCCTCTCAACGTGATCTCAGTGTTTTGCTGCTGGAATTTTTAAAAGATTCATATGTGTCAGTTTAATTTGATAAAGTATGTGTTGAGGATTGTTCCCATGCCGTGTTTTTTATTTTTTATTTTAATTCTTGACTCAATGTTTTTGTGTTAGTGTGGATTGATTTCAAGCTTTTCTGCCGTTGCCTTGAGCTCTGTATGATTATGGTTGAATTTCGCCACAAGAGGTTTCTGTCAAGAAGCTCACGGCTCTGAACTAGGGTTGCATTGATGCCTAAAATTTTAGCTTTATGTACGATACCTCAGTGAGTAGTTTACTCATATATATATATACCTGCTTGTTCATACAGACAGAATCTGATCCATTCATGTCTCATGTTTTTCAAATAGGGGGACAAAAGGGAGATTTTTTTTTCTTTCTTTTGTATAGTCCACATTTCATTAATGAAATAAAGATATGCCGTGTTTTTTATTTTTTATTTTAATTCTTGACTCAATGTTTTTGTGTTAGTGTGGATTGATTTCAAGCTTTTCTGCCGTTGCCTTGAGCTCTGTATGATTATGGTTGAATTTCGCCACAAGAGGTTTCTGTCAAGAAGCTCACGGCTCTGAACTAGGGTTGCATTGATGCCTAAAATTTTAGCTTTATGTACGATACCTCAGTGAGTAGTTTACTCATATATATATACCTGCTTGTTCATACAGACAGAATCTGATCCATTCATGTCTCATGTTTTTCAAATAGGGGGACAAAAGGGAGATTTTTTTTTCTTTCTTTTGTATAGTCCACATTTCATTAATGAAATAAAGATAAAATAAAATACTTTGTTCAAGACCATTTGACCTAAACAATGACTATGAGATATGATAGCCTCTCAGTATTTGAATAGAGTGCCAGACGGACACGCATACACACACAATTCCAGATGGAATCCAAGGGGGTGAGATACAGACGAACACTTTGATATGTCTGACATCTCCAGGGAAGCTTTGACACCTGTGTGCCCTCCATCAGCACATTAATGCACACAGACCAGAATGCGAAAGAGATCCTTCCACCTGTGGAAAGATGACCAGAGCAGAATCTGTCTATCGAGCGGTGGATAAATGTGCATGTGCGAAGACTAAAGACATCCAACTTTGCACTGTCTTTCATCTGCTTCCTCTTTCTGTTTCTCTGTGTAGCTGTATATGGTCAGGACGATGCTGGAGTCTCTGGTCGCTGATAAGAGCGGCTCAAAGAAGACTCTGCGCAGTAGTTTGGAGGGTCCGACCATCCTGGACATCGAGAAGTTTCATCGCGAATCATTCTTCTACACTCACCTGCTCAACTTCAGTGGTAAAGAACAGGCTAAATGGCAGTTCACACCAATTTAGCCATTTGGTACAGCGTTCACCATTTTAACAACAGTAAAATGATTACCAACTATACAGCTATACTTTTTGTTATTTAACCAACCTTTTTAATACCATTCTGCATCAATGCCCATTACTGAGCTTTTCTGTGTTCACAGAGGCCTAAAAAAGTATATAGACACTTAAGCTACATTTTAAAATGTATGAATGTCATTCCTTTATTAAAAGGCTTTTATTTTAAAGATAAATAGCACAAATACACATTCAATCTGCAATGAACAGCAAAAGTAAAAAAAAAAAAAATTAATTGGGAAAGTCGTGGCCTAATGGTTAGAGAGTTTGACTCGTAAAGGTTGCGGGTTCGAGTCTCGGTACCGGCAGATGGATATTTTTAAAGCCCAGTTTGGACAGGAAATTTTTTTTCTGTAATAAATTGACACATCTGTAAGTGATTGACATGGCAATTCATACAAGATTAAAATCACAGAGAATTAATTCTGGTAATTAATACCTTTAATATAAAATATGAAATATAAATATGAAATAAAAAAAATTGTGCAGACTCTACTAATCTTTAATAACAGGGTTGTGCAATAATATAATTTGTAATGTCATAAATAGGCAGCATTTTAACAGCTATATTAGTGTAGACATGACTTTCAGGCTTCAACTGATGCAATATGTATTCATTCATCCATATTTCAGTTAAACAGATGTGATTGAGATTAAATCAAATTGCATAGAAAATTTCTTTCATCACTTGTCAGAAAGCACGATGCACGAGACACTTAAGTGAAGATGGAGCATTGATTTCATCTTTAATTTTTTAGAGAATGGTTAATTATTAAGTTAATTCATTAGATATTTATAGTCAGTCTATGCTTAAAGCTTATGCTTACTCCAACCAGGAAAAGACTGCTATGTTTCAGATACATTTAAAACAGAGATTCTTGTTTGCAGCTGTTAAGAAGCATGTAATCTGCAGCAAGTGAATGCAAATCAGTTATCTTTTTTTATCAGTTTTTCTCCTGTGAATTGAGTGATCGTTTACCTTCTGCAGTTGGATCATCATGCTTTCTTTTTGTGTCTTCTTTTTACTGTCAAATAGCACAATACAATTTTTATTCTGAGCATAAGGTACAATCTGACCCATATATCAAATACGACAAGTGAGAAAAAGAAAGAGCTTTGTAAGGAATTATAGTGAGGTGAGAAATATTCCTATGACTGTATTGTGAGGTGTTCAAGATGGGCTATATAGAATAGACGTGAAGATAGGTCATGAAAGAGTCTGAATGTAGGATGAAAAGAAGACTAAAGTTATCTTTACACTGTCAGGTTAAGATGGCTTCAACATTTCATGGCCTTCATGGGGAAGATAGACATGTTGATGACAAATTTATCATAAAGGTACCCATTTAGTATCAGAGTGAACTAATGCCATCAGGGTTCAGCTGTGGTCTGAATACAGCTCGTAAATGGTAGAAGGATGCCATCTCTGAAGGTTACATCTGTGTTTCAGGTTTGAGAAACTGAGATGCACTATTCGCTTCAGTCCAGCTTTTTTTTGGATAAAGGGTGAATAACTAATTTCAGTTATTGTGTCTGCTTGATTCTCAGTAGACTCTCAGAGTGATGGATTGGGTACACAGAGCACAGTGATTCCACTTCTCACCTGCTCCTGTTGTATTACTCGCACACCCACAAGTCACAAGTGACTTTAACCAGCACACTGAGAACAACACCTAAAAGTTGGTCATGTCACAGCAGATATTTGTAGTTTTTTTTTTCTTTTTCTTTTTCTCCTTAGAAACATGTTCCTTTGAAAGCTGTGGTTTGACTTGTGTGATGAGTTTTTCACTGTATTATTACCTGTGAATGGGTCCGGAGTGGACATGCTGAGCACAGCCTTATTAAACAGAATTGACAATAACTAGTCGACGACAACCCAATAATACAAAAATGGTCAGATTTTTAAAACAATTTTCCCCTTTGTTTAGGTTTGTTCGCACGGTGCTGCCGTTTTCACAAGAGTTTCAGAGAGACAAGCCTCCCAATGCCCAGCCACAGTACCTGTATGGCTCAAAGGTGGGTTTGCATGAGTTTAAATGGCACACCGACATCTATTACATCTCCAGCATTAACTTGAGTGCCTCTCACAAACCATAACACACAGGGAAATGTTTTTTTTATTAAGCAAGATAGATAGGTAGGCAAAGTACATTTCAAGCATAGAAGGATTTCAATGCAACGAACACAACACAGATATACTATCAACTCACAAAGACATTAAAATCAACACTTATACAGCCATTAAAGGTAAATGTGCACTAAGCAATTGAATGTTTTGTTGGCTCTTTTTTTGCCTTGCAAAACCAATATGGCAGTGGTGTGTAACTTTAAACTGACACTGTACTCTACAGACACGATTCCAACATTGTAGGTTGATAGGTGACCCACATTATGTAGAAATATAAATATATAAAATAAATTATGCTTCTGATGTGAATCTTGTGTGTATTGGAAAATTTGGTACTATTTCTTACTGTAAAAAGTATCATTTTCAAATAATGATTATTATTATTATAATAATTATGATTATTATTTATAAATTATACAAAACATGTGTGTGTGTGTGTGTGGGGGGGGGTTATAAATAAATGAATAAAGGAATAACAAAATTGTGTAAGTTCTAATAGTTTGAATTTTTGGGGTCAGTGCCTCAAAGTAACAATTTGGTGCCCTAGTTATTCTGACCCGGGGCCAAAACTCTGTTTATTACTTGGAGTTCGAAGTTCACAACCCTGCACTTTTGCCATTTCTCTGCCGTGCTCGGCTCGGAAAGGATTTTCAATCACCGTTGCGTTCTGAGAGTCTTCCCCGCCACAACCGGCCGTGTACAGACTTTTTCTTCCTTCGCTTCCCATGTTCCCACCCATGGGGGTCAGAGCCAGGTGTGGAGGGTTCGGACCTGACTGGCTGCCTCTTTCTGGGTCCCTCTTGGCTGGACACATGGTGTGCAGACATCCCCAAAGCAGAGCCACAGCAATGATCAGCAACAGGATGCTGCTGGCAAGCCAGATGCCCATCGCCAGCTCCCTGCCGCTCTCTCCGAGCTCAGTGCCCTCATCTAGGGTACTGAAGACCTGGCACTGCTCTCTGGTGGGGTTGGCAGACTGGCAGGTGACGCAGAGGATGTAAGTGGTCTGTGGACTGAGGTTGCCCAGACTGGTGGACGTCTGGCTTACGGGAACCCTGTCCTCCCGCAAGAAGCTCTTGCGTGTGTAACCCATCAGCAGGCTGTTCCAGTTAGGGTGATACATGACGCTGTAGAACGTGTCCACGCAGCCTGGAGATGATGGCCAGCTCACGATGGCAGAGGTGGCTGTAATGTTCTGAATGGTGATAGTCATGTTGAGTTTGTTTTTTAGATTGAAACTCAGACCCTTATGCACGCACAGTTTGATGATGTAGGCTGGTTTGAGACGACATGCAATGATTTTTGAAGGATCTGGAAGAATAGAGGGAAATGTTTTTTTTTTAATTTAGATCAATTCTGACCTTGAATGTAGTACAACAAGGTCTTAATAGATTAGTAATGGTCTTGCTTCTGGCATAAAATGTTTTTTTTTTTTTTTTTTTTAAGAAATGTAAAACTTCAGTTGTTGTTTTCAGTATTGAAATTGATTTTGAATTGAAGTGCTTTGCCAAAGGGATTTTATCAAAAAACACTGGCTGAGGACAGGTATATAAAAAATACAGCTTTGCTATAAACACTGCAGATGTTTTGTACGTGTTCTGTGCTGTTCTTTTCTGTCAAGTTTGTCTTTCATATTGTAGTAACTAACATTGAGAATGGTTGTGTAGGTAACACACAAGGTGGCTATTTTCATGGTTATATGAAAAGCACCAGGTTATTGAGTACAAGAACAGATTTTTTATTTATCTGCCTTGATTGTTTTGTATCTATTATTTTCTCTCTTCAAACTAGGTATCTAAAGCAGGATTATGTGAATGAGTTGAAGAGTAATTTCCAATTGACATTACATCCATATATCTGCTTGCCAAGAAAAAAGTTCTGCTTCTATCAAGTCATTATAAATGAATAACATTACAGCCCAATAAATATAATTTTAAGGTTAAATTAAAATAAACAATTATTTATTCAGTCATCACTGTTGTAATATCTGCCATGCATTATGCATGATCAAACACTGCTGCATGAGTATTTTATACTTGTGTGTGGAGTGGTGACCCTGTATGCTATACACACACACACACACACACACACACACGCTGTAATTACTCGGCAGTCAGCACCATACAAAAGCTTGAACACTAATCATTTTGATCTTCCAGAAGCAGACAGCGTCAATAACGCTCAGAGAAGTCTGAGGAAAACAGGACATGTATTCTCTCTCCCTACAGACTTGTTGCTCTTTCCAATCTTTTTCAAATCCACACAGCTGCTAAAGATTTAGTTGTATTTTCAAACAGTACTTGTCTGAATTTCACCAGTGTTTACAGGTAATCTACAGCTACCCCCCCAACAGAGACACGGGTGAGATAGAGAGGTAAAGGAGCAAAAATCTTACCATAAAAGATGAGAAGAGAGTCACTTCATACAAAGATCGTCTCTCTCTGTTGCAGACAGAATCCCCCTGAAGCATTCAGAGGGTGTGATTTGTAGCTGTCTCTGTTTGGCATAGCTCAGCTCTCCTGCAGAAAGAGCTCCACTTCCACACCGCTGCACAGAAAAGCTTTTCTATCTGATTAGAACAGCAGACAGCAAATAAAGCAGAGAGAGAGTGCTGTGGGGAGGGGGAGACGACACAGCAGTGTTTTGCGTAGAATGCATTTTAAACAGAATTACAGCTGGGAGAGCTTGAACTCATCATTCATCCTCGATCTCTTACACATCCTTGCTCTCTCAGTCATTGGAAAAACACATGGCACTTTTCCTCCCCCACTTTGCTCTCAATTACTCCCTCAGACTGGTGACCTGTCTCCCCTGACTCACTGCCACAACACCTACGGACATGTATGCTCATGCATTTATGATTAATCATTAATCGGTCAGCTTGCAAATACTGTGTTCTTATTAAGAGAACACAAAAGGAAGCTTATTTCTTTCAAGTTTTGTTACTAAAGTATTTAAGACTTTGTTGGCCATTAAATGTTTTTTTTTAAGTGTAAAAGTGTGTGTTTGTGTGCACACATGCACACACACATATACAGTGCCATTAATACAGGTAACGAGTGGAGGACAGAGGAGCCTCTTAAAGAAGAAGTTACAGGTCTGTGAGAGCCAGAAATCTTGCTTGTTTGTAGGTGACCAAATACTTATTTTACCGAGGAATTTACCAATTAATTCTTTAAAAATCCTACAATGTGATTTTTTTGGATTTTTTTTCTCATTTTGTCTCTCATAGTTGAGGTATACTTATGATGAAAATTACAGGCCTCTCTCATCTTTTTAAGTGGGAGAACTTGCACAATTGGTGGCTGACTAAATACTTTTTTGCCCCACTGTGTGTGTGTATATATATATACACTTACAATGCAGTTCAAAAGTGTGGGATCATTACAATTTTCTTCTGCTCATAAAGGTTGCATTTATTTGATAAAAAATACAGTAAAACCGTAATATTGTGAAATTAATTTATATACTTTAAAATATTATTTATTTCAGTGTCCTTAAGAAATTATTCTAATATGCTGATTTATTATCAGTGTTGGAAACAGTTGTGAATATTAGAATATATCAGCATATTAGAATCATTTCTGAAGGACCATTTCTGAAGAACACTGAAGACTGGAGAACTGGCTGATGAAAATTCAGCTCTGCATTACAGGAATAAATTATATTTTAAAGTATATTAATTGTTGTTGGCTTAAAGCAAGACTTGAAATGAAATCTTGAGTTTTGTTCCACGCACTAACTTGCTCTCTTTTCTTTTTAATGATGATTTAGACCTTGAATTTGGCATACAGTAGCATATACAGCCTCTACCGGAACTTCGTGGGACCTCCACATATTAAGGCTATTTGCAGACTTCTAGGATACCAGGGCATCGCTGTGGTGATGGAAGAGCTGTTAAAGGTCGTCAAAAGCCTGGTACGTGCATAAGCATGCAAATTGCAGTTTATTCATGGAGATCTGGGGCCTTTTGCAAGACCCTTGACATAATCTTTTTTTTCTAATCAGCGGCTCTCAAACATGTGAGAAGAAATGCATGGTGTACTATTTCTACTAAAACTTCTCAAATGATGCCTTAATTATAGTGGTTTCAACACCAAAGTCATGGGTTTGTTTCCCAGGAATGCATGCACTGATATGGTCAGACAGAATACCAAATTTCTGTTTTCATGATGCACCAGATCATTTATAAGGATCTTAATTGAATCAGATCATTGTTGGAGCGATTTTTTTTTTTTTACACTGCTAATCTAACTTTAAAGGATAAAGAATAAAAGACAAAGTTCAGGATGTGTGGGCATTAGCAACATTTCTGCTGAAATCACCTTGTCATCTTGTTTAATTTTTCTGGTGCAGCTTCAGGGTACCATTCTGCAGTATGTAAAGACCCTGATGGAAGTCATGCCCAAGATATGCCGTCTGCCTCGCCACGAGTATGGCTCTCCAGGTGAAAATTGCACTTTTTTTTGGACACTCCTCAGCAAGCCTTTTATTTTCTGACCCAGGAGAGCCACTTTGACCCTGTGTAAAAATGAGCTCCCACTATCACCAATAGAAGATAAGCAATGAATTATCAAGCTTTCATAAATCCAGCTGTGCTGCTAGCCAGATTGGCTGTCTGCAGTGTGTCAGTCACACAGCGGAGCTTACGCAGCAGACGCTGGGTGTTTTATAAGACTTAATCAGACCCCTCTTGACTTGAGAAGGTTTGGTAATTGCTTCTTGCTCTTCTTTCTCCCTTTCTTTGTTTGTTATTTCTTTCCGGGTGACCATACTAAGAGGGTGCGCTCCACACTGAAACCATGGCATGTCTGATTATGTGGGCTTCAGTCAGCCTGGACAAAAACCTAGGCCCATGAGCGTGCAAAGCGGCGACGTGGCGTTGATGGTGGTAGATTGTGACCTAGTGGAAGTTTGTAAGCGTGCGGCAGCTAAGCTTGGCATCACTTGGCCCGTAACTCCTGGGGATCCAGGAGTTAAACGTGCCATCTATGATGGGAAAAGGCTTCCTTCTCGCCTTCCATCGGCGAAACAACTGCTTCCTGCTTTGCTGGCGTGTTTAGCAGAGATGAAGCGATCTAGGGACAAACCCTTTTCTCATCGTGTGCCCGTCAAGGGATACTCAATGTGAGTGAAATGGAAGGGCTTGGGCTCTCTAACCCTCCAACCCGAGGCGTTTGACATCTGTCTGCCACATTTAAAAAAAAGCACTGCGTCCTCCTGTTACCCCGTGTCCTGTTCCTCCGACGCAGAACAAGAGGTTTTTGAATGCGTCCAGGACTGCAAAACCCCAGAGCACGGAGCAGGCGGCTCGCCCCCACCGCTGCTTCAAACGCTAAACCACGGGGAAAGCAGTCATTCTTGGCAGCGGCTGCAAAGTCCAAGTCCGCTAACCCTTCTAACAAAAAGAGGAGGGATACCTAGGACACAATCTCTGCATGGGAGGGACTGGCAGCACCTAGGGTTCTCTGTGATGTCCTCTCCCGAGCCCACCATATCTGTTCCCCCACCCGCGAAGAAGCGGAAGATGTGGAGTTTGGGCGGAAAAATGGTTTAAGTTGTGTTCAGGCCAGTTCAGCTTCCCCTCAACACACAATGTTCCATCAAGTTCAAGTGCAGCATACTCAGCCACCAAAAAAATGTGGTCTGATGGTACAAACACAAGTTCTCAAGTGTATTGTCACAAAGCACTTCAGCCTCTGGGTTTAAAGCAAATAAAAAATTATCCGTCGCATCCAGGCTCAATGCCGAGGGCACAGGGAGACAAAAACAAAATAATAACAATGAACCAAGAGATAAATCGATCTCTTGAGTCACACAGATCCTGGCCGTTTTTCTCTGATGGCGCCAGCACTCCATCTATGGAATCAGTTCAGCTGAACCCTCTGGCTCTTTATCAGGAGGCTTGGAGAGAGTGTTCTGTGCATACGTGGGTCCTCTCGACTGTAACCAAGGGTTACAGGCTTCAGTTTGGTGTAAAACCCCCTCTTTTCAATGGGGTCATAGCATCTGTAGCAAATGGGGATTCAGCTCGGGTTCTAGAAGCAGAAATATCCTCCCTCTTAGAAAAAAGAGCTAAATAAGACGAGTTCCAGTGGGGGAAACTCAGAAAGGCTATTACTCACGTTATTTTCTAATTCCAAAGAAAGACGGGGGTTTGCGCCCAATAATGGACCTGCATGCTCTAAACAAGCACTTGAGGAAGTACAAATTCAAGATGCTCACAGTTGCAGCTCTCACGCGCACAGTCCGTCGGAACGATTGGTTCACCGCGGTCGATCTCAAGGATGCTTACTTTCATTTAAGCATCTATCCTGCGCACAGGAAATATCTCAGGTTTTCCTTTCAGAACGAATTGTACGAATTTGTAACACTTCCATTTGGGCTCAGCCTCGCTCCTCGCGTGTTCAGCAGGTGCATAGAGACAGCGTTATCACCGCTGAGACACAAGGGGCTCAGAATATCTGTTTTTTCTGGACGATTATCTGATTTGCGTTCACTCACGGGAGCGCACGGAACGGGACACAGAGATGCTCATGTCTCATCTAACGAGTCTGCAGTTCAGAATCAACTATGCCAAAAGCCAGCTGATTCCATCTCAGGAGATAGAGTATCTGGGCTTACGAATAGACTCTGGCATACCGTGCTATGCTCTCTGAAAGGAGGATAATGGCATTTTATCAGTGCCTGGCCCAGTTTTGCAAGGGAAATTTGGTAACGTTCAGGATCTGTCTCCGCCTTTTGGGCATGATGGCTTCGTCGCTGTCTGTGGTCCCGCTAAGTTTGCTGAAAATGAGAGGCTTCCAGCAATGGGTAGCAGCGAGACGTCTGTGTCCTCGTCGGCACCTCGCACGCAGAGTGAGAATACACACGGAGTGCGTGATGGCTCTTCATCAGTGGAGAGATCCCCGTTTATTCCAGACAGGGGTTCCCTTGGGGAGCGTGTCTCTGAGAAAAGTAGCATCTCTGTCAGGCTGGGGGGCTGTTATTCAGGGCAGATCTGTAAACGCTCGCTGGACGCCTCAGCTTCGCAGACTTAACATAAATATGTTGGAGTTGATGGCAGTCTTTCTGGCCCTGAAACATTTTCTCCCATTCTTAGAAGGGTTTCATGTTCTGGTCAGGACAGACAATACGACGGTGTTGGCATATATCAATCGCCAAGGGGGAACGCATTCGTTGCAACTGCACAATCTAGCACGCAAACTGATTGTCTGGGGCGCGGCGCACTTCAGCTCGCTGCGCGCGACGCACGTACCAGAAGTCCTGAATATAGGGGCGGCTCTCCTGTCAAGGGGCAACCCGTTATACGGAGAGTGGGTGCTCCACCTGTAGGTGGTGGATCAGATTTGGGGGATGTACAGCAAGGCTGCCGTAGATTTCTTCGCCTCGCAGGCAAATGCAAAGTGTCTGCGGTATTTCTCTCTCAGGGACGAAAATATGCCTTTGGGTGTGGATGCACTGGCGCACCCGTGGCCGAACGTGTTGCTTTACGCATTCCCTCCGCTGAGTCTAATTTCTCCCACAAGAAAAAATGGATTATCTCTCCTTCTGATAGCCTCTTGTTGGCCGGGGAGGCTGTGATTGGCAGAGATTGTCCAGCTCCTTCAGGGAGAACCCTGGCTGCTCCCGTTGCGCCAGGACCTGCTGTCGCAAGTGGGGGGGCAGATATTTCACCCACACCCGGAAAGAGTCGATCTTTGGGTCTGGCCCGTGAAGGGTTAAATTTATACATGTAATATAATTTATACAAGGCGTGTCATGTATGCTTTGAGGTAGTCTCAGTTGGACGGCACCCTCTTATATGCTGTTTTATGAAGAGGGTGAAGCGTTTGAGACCAGTACCTAAGCATCTGGTCCCGTCATGGGACTTGCCCATGGTTCTGAATGCTTTAACTCAGGGCCCCATTTGAACCTCTGGAGAGTGTTGATATTAATCTCCTATCTCTGAAAACGGTCTTACTACTTGCTTTAGTCTCAGCTAAGCGAGTGTGTGTTACATGCTTTGTCGGTTCATCGGGCATGTCTGGATTTTAGTCCGGATGAAGGTTGCGTTGCTGCCTAACCCGGCTTTCGTAGTCAGTGATTCCGCTTATAACTGCTCTGCTTTGGAGCTGCGTGCCTTTTACCCCCCTCCTTTTTCTTCGGAGGGGGAGTGGAAATTGCACACTTTGTGTCCTGTACGAGCGTTACGCGATTATGTAAACAGGACACGATCGTTCAGGAAGAATGATCAGTTATTAGTTTCATGGGCCACTCAATGTAAGGGTAAGCCGATCTCCTCACAGCACCTTTCCCATTGGATGGTGGAGGCTATTGAATTAGCCTATACATCTATGGGTCTTCATTCCCCTGTGCGCTAAAGGGCTCATTCAACAAGGGGTATGGCTACCTCTTGGGCATTATTTAAGGGGATTTCGGTAGGAGATATTTGTGCAGCGGCAAGCTGGGCTTCCCCTCATAGATTTATCAGATTTTACCATCTGGATGTCACTGCGCCTTCTATGGCTCATGCAGTTCTCAATGTTGGCTCTTTGGAGAATTGAAAGGTTATCTTTCGTTCTTGCCGGGGTCTGTTCGGCGGCTTCGGAAAGCATGCGTTTCGGGAGTTGGCTATATCATTCCCATAGTGATATACCGAGTGATTGTTTGAAAGAGAACGTTAGGTTACTTGCGTAACCTCGGTTCTCTGAGAACAGAGCGAGGTATCTAACCAAGCTTCCCTACTCGCATAACACGGGGGAAGAGCGTGCTTAGAATGCCGTTTTCGGGGATCACAGCCATATATAGGGAGGGGGTGGGCTCCTTGTCATGAGCTGTGATTGGTCTGTCCTTTGGACAGACGTGGTATAGTTGGTGCTTCCATAGTCTATCACGCCTGGGGCGTTTCCCATAGTGAGATACCTCGCTCTGTTCTCAGAGAACCGGGGTTACGCAAGTAACCTAATGTTTTCTCTTTGAATTAAATAGTTTTCTGAGACCACTGGGAGATATTTGTCCTTGTTTGAATCATAAACTCGATTTTTGATAAACCTCTCATCTTATGTAATTTTCCTTCTCAAATAAATGTATCTTAAAGGGTTAGTTCACCCAAAAATGAAAATTCTGTCATTAATTACTGTCATGTCATTCCAAACCCATAAGACCATCTTCGGAACACAAATTAAGATATTTTTTATATTTTGAATTAATGAATTAATTAGTGAACTAGCCCTTTAATTTAAAAATCTAGACATTTGCACTGGAAACTAAGACAATTATTGAGGAAGATCATGACTTTTTTTGCAGTGTGAACAGAAGGTTCAGATTAAAATGACGTTTCCTCAAATGTATTTAAATTTCTTTACTTAATTTTAAAGTGGTCTTAAACTCTTAACTTAAATTTACCTTTATTAAACCTTCAGAAACCACAATACATGCATGTGCTGGTCGCGTCAAGGTTAGTTTTAGGGCCTGGATCAATATTACTGTTAACAAGACATCCAGATTTTAAGCATTTATTAGGAGATGTTGATCCAGAAACGGGATCTATTTTTGTTAATCACAATGCAGTGTGCAAATAGAGGAATACTAATACTTCAGCATTTCCAAAAACAAACAAAATGAGGCATTATAGTGAAAGTATGATTTTTGTCTCCTGGATGCAGGTATTCTGGAGTTTTTCCACCACCAGTTGAAGGACATTGTGGAGTATGCTGAGCTGAAGACTGTGTGCTTCCAGAACCTGAGGGAAGTTGGAAATGCTTTGCTGTTCTGCCTGCTGAGTGAGCAGAGCTTGGTATGACCACTGAGCATTCACACTATGCTATAGAAACCATGCCTTAAAACGGTACTGACCAATCCTACCTTAGCAACTGTTGCCACCTGCCATAATCTTTTCTTTAAAGAAGAAATTCCAGTTTATGTAAGAATATCCAATATTTTTATGACCACTTTCAGTATGTAAGCAAAACAGAGGGTCAATGCCATCAATAAACAGATCTTCAGCAGATTGATAATGTGGTTTTGAGAGTAAAGAGTGTGGAAGTGAGCTTTACTAATTAATTTTGTCCTTTGTGGTTTGGCTCCTTTCATATTCTCATATTGCTGTGACAAGTGACACACAAGACGCATAACTAAAGTCTTCAATCATGAATGAATCTCTTAATATTGTAACTTTTTATAAATTATTCAGGAGTCAATGACAGAATAGAGCAATATACTGTATATATGTACTGTAATGTGTTAATTAGGTGTGATTAATTTGGGAAAAAATAACATTAAAATTAATAACGTATTTAACACACCCTGGCCCTCCGCAGACCTGTATTTGACATTGCATGCAGCTGTTGACAAACATGATGCAGGGCAATGACTGACTGTGTATTTAACACAATAATGACCAAATATGGTTTACACTGCATAATGGATGGAACATCACTGCAGCATGGTTGAGAATATCTGACATTCATCCAGACACTCAAGAGACTCTTCACAGATGTGATAAGCTGCTGTTTAATTGTCAACCATTAGTCACAATTATGAAAGTTACCCAGGGAGATGCTGTCTTCCACCACCCTCCACATTAAACATCAAATTATATAGTGTCAATAATGAAGGGTTGTCTGGAAAAAAAATAAGTAATGGAAGAGAAAATGTCTGTGCCTGTGTGAAAGTACCTGCTCTGCCTGATGGTAAGGTCAATGCAATCTGAGCTGTTGGCTGTAATTCTCTGCATTTTAATTTAAATGTCAACAGCCTCATCTGTAATAGCTCCTGTCAGTGGTGTATGTGACTGCATGGCTCCATCTGCTGGAACCATACCCATAGAAATTCTAAAAGGCTTCATTGGACATACATTAAAACACCGTTTTGACATGAAGTGCCATTTCTGTTTTTTGTTGTCAACCACTATGCGACATCACCCCTCTGTGCCACAAAAGAAATCCTCGCCACAGTATGAATAATTCATGCCAAATACTGAAGGGAGGTAGTTTGACATAAGGATATGCATAATGTTTATGGTTAATATTCGATATTAATTTCTACATATACTCATATTTTTAAAATTTCAAGTTACATAATCAAAATTAACGTTAATGTATTTTGAACATTTAGCAAGAAATGCAAGTTATTTCATGATATCAACATTATATGAGACATCATTATAGTAAAGTGACACCAAAAACCGCCCACAAACATTTAGCTAATGACTAATGGAATCTGTGCTTTACTAGTTAACCTGATTAACATAATGCACCAAAACTCTGTGATTATGCATGTACATGTCAAAGTGTCAATGTTGGCTTGTCTCAGATTGCTTATTTGAATTTAACTCATGCTTTGATCCCATTGTTCCATTGATTACTTCGCTTTTTGCCCGCGTGACTTAGTTTCTGAAATGAGTTTGTCTCTTTTCCTACAGTCTCAAGAGGAGGTGTGCGACTTGTTGCATGCAGCACCCTTCCAGAACATCTTGCCAAGAGTTCACGTTAAAGGTAAGCTCATGTTTATGGATGTTTGCTGAGGATATGCAGTATTTTTTAGAATGCTTTATTTGAGCAGTTCCTCATACATATCCAATAATCCCTCTAACAACCCACACTTGAGCAGAAGGTGAACGTCTGGATGCAAAGATGAAGCGTTTGGAGGCCAAATACACAGCACTGCATATGGTGCCTCTAATTGAGCGTCTGGGAACCCCTCAGGTGGGTGAAACATCACTGCGCTGAGTGACAGCCGCTTTAGTCGTGCTCTGCTACTTTGCCGCCTCCAGTACACACATCTACTTATTGTCATTAGCATCTTCAATTACACACCTAACTGCTGGTTTGAGCTCATCCCTGAGCCTTCCACGTTCACTTTTTTATTTATGAGCTGTCGGTGGTAATGGCCAAATTTATTATTTTCAAAGAAAAATGGTGATTTCTAAATTTTGCTGGAAGAAATGAGCATTATTTTATCCTGGTAACGCTGCTATTTTCTGTCACTTTTTGTTACATTAATTGGCATTTCTACAAATGAAATCAGTAACTGCACTTGTGTTTTTTGTGATTGATTCTGTGCTTAAATTTTTATTTTTTTTTTAAAGTCCCAGACCACTGTTATATATGGAATAGGTCTGAAATTATGAGATACAAAGCCATAATTAAGTTGAAATTGACATAAAAAAAAAATATTTGAAATTATGAGATAAAATCAACTGACAAATTGAAATTATCATGATTTGGTAAATCATGTTTTTTGAGCTAAAGGTCTAAAATTATGAGAGAAAAAGCCATAATTAAGTTGAAATTGACATTAAAAATTGAAATTATGAGAGAAAATCATAACTATGGCAAGTCGAAATTATCATGCTTTGGTAAATCATGCTTTTTGAGATAAAGGTCTGAAATTGAGATAAAAGCTATAATTGAAATAGACAAAGTTGAAATTTATGAGATAAAAAGTTATAATTAAGTTGAAATTGACAAAGTTGAAATTGAGATAAAAAGCCATAATTAAATTGAAATTGTCATAAAAAGTTGACGTTAAGAGATAAAAAATGAATAATTACGCTGAAATTGACAAGTTGAAATTGAGAAAAAGTTGATAGTCAATCTTGATTCATAATTTCAACTTTTTATATCATAATTATGAGATAAAAAGTCAGAATTAAAGATGACGTTGCATTGAGATACTTCATAATTGAGTCAATTGTGAGAAAGTCAAAATGATCACATCTCAGTGGTGACTTTTTATGCCATCATTATTCATTGTTAGGATTGTCACAATACTACGTAATTGTGGTGACATCACCATCTACTGTTCAAATTTGATAACTGTAAATATGCTTTGAAGGACAAATCATATGCTTTGACAAACAAAGTCAATCTTGATGCAGACTTGAGTGAGCAGTACTGGTCTGATTTGAATCAATACCCTGTACAATCTCTAATCAGCAAATTGCCATCGCCCGTGAGGGTGACCTGCTGACTAAAGAGCGGCTGTGCTGCGGTCTCTCCATATTCGAGGTCATTCTGACTCGCATCCGCGGTTATCTGGACGACCCAATCTGGCGCGGCCCGTTGCCCAGCAACGGCGTGATGCACGTGGACGAGTGCGTGGAGTTCCACAGGTTGTGGAGCGCCATGCAGTTTGTGTACTGCATCCCGGTGGGAGCTCACGAGTTCACCGTTGAGTGAGTGCAAACGGATCACCTGTTTTTCTCGTCATGTAGAATGGCGGTTTACAGTGAGATTAGGATATTTGTGCTTTATAAAGCATATTGATCTTCTTCTAGGCAATGTTTTGGAGATGGTCTGAACTGGGCCGGTTGCATGATTATCACATTGCTTGGACAGCACAGACGCTTTGACATCCTGGACTTCAGCTACCATCTCCTTAAGGTGCAGAAACATGACGGCAAAGATGAGATCATCAAGAGTGTGGTGAGTTTTTCTTCAATGAAGTTTTTATGTAACTTCTGTAGTCAAGACATCAGCTAAACCATCTTATTTCTCTCTCTCACTTTAGCCTCTAAAGAAAATGGTTGACCGAATTCGCAAGTTCCAGATTCTGAATGATGAAATCTTTGCCATTTTGAACAAGTACCTGAAGTCTGGGGATGGAGAGAACATGCCAGTCGAACATGTCCGTTGCTTTCAGCCTCCGATCCATCAGTCATTGGCCAGTAACTGAGATTGGCGTACATTTGCAGCAATTAGAAGTGGAAGAGATGCTAGAGGGGAACATATTTAGCTACATGTTTAGGACCAGTTTCACTGTCACATTCTACATAGAGATGCCTTTCGTACGCCAGCCTGTAGTGTTCACAGAGCCAGTAAGTTGCCTTGTGATTAGTCAAGTGTTTTGTAAGCATCAATCAATTGTACCATTATTGGGTTTGCACATGTCTCAGGCTTTGGTCAATTAGGCCAAAATATGTTTTAAAATGATAGACAAACACGGCCCAGTTTTACATAGTGTTTTTCAGGTTGATTTTATTTTGTACACACTCGTGCCTTATTATAGATAAATGGCTTTTATATGTTAATGATAGCACAGCACTACTCATTTTCGTGTTTTATACCAGGGGAAAGGGTTGGAAAATGGCCAAGTGGGGTTTTATCAACTGATTATTTAAGCTTTTGCTGTGGTGAGAGACCAGTGGTATATTTCTATGTGGTGTTTTTGAATAATTGCATGCACGATTCTTTTCCTTCTATTATCCTGAATAAATCTTTAAGCATAACCAAGTTCTTACTCTCATTAAACGTGCCTTTTTGTATTTTAATTGTAATCAGATTTTAATTCAATAAATATCAAATTCTGTGGTTTCCTGGGTTGTCTTTTCAGCAAATTAAACGAGTTAAATGACTAGTTCACAAAAAATAAATAAAAACGGTCATCGTTTACTCAATTTGAGAGCTATATAAAAACTATATCAAGTCTTCAGTGGGTCTCCTGCATCTTTGAAGAGGTTGAAGCAGGTTGGAGATCAATTTTGCAGGACAGTGGGTCGCCAGGAAGATCTTTGGTCGATGCGAATCTGAAGGTATCTGTGTGCAGTGTTCCAACAAACTTAAGTTAACTTGCATTCATATCAATGATAACCAGTGTTGGGCTAGTTACTCAAAGAATGTAATATATTACTCCTTACTAGTTACTCCTTTCAAAAGTAATATTGTTACTATTATTACTGTCTGGCAACAGTAATTAGTTACACTACTAGTTACATTACTTTTTCTTCAAGCTCCACAGAAGTTGTAACTGTATATTCCACATAAAATTCTTTCTAACAACATATTTCTGCCTCATCATTTGACCAAAATCCACGTTGGATCGCAGTCAGAAGTTATTACAAACACTCAATAGTGACATTCAAGTAGAAGTGTTGTATTAATCTCATTAATTGTCATGTGTAGCTTGAAGCTAATTGTAATTTTTCCATATTCCAAGCTTGCCTGCTGCACTGGGGACATCACGTGCATGTGCGAGTCATGAAAATTAGTGATTGTTGGATTTTAAATCAGCGGGGTTGAAGCATCAAAAGTAACTATGGATGGTAACCGTAATATTATTACTGAAATCTTATATATACACTACTAGTTGCTGCAAAAAGTAATATTACAGTAACTAAATTACTAGTAACGTTACTGCCCAACACTGTTAACGAGTGCATATCGACGATAATTAAACCATTTTAATTAAAATATCATAAACAATGACGAGACAAATGAACACCGCTAGATATTAATAATGTTTTTGAACAAAATAAAATCCAGTTTCAGGTGATTAAGCTGAACAATGAATGAACACCGGTCAATTAAAGCGCTTTGTTGGCGGGTTAATTATCCTCATTAGATTCATCAGATACACACAATCACACAATATAAATGTAATACAAGCTTGTATCCGCACAATATGGCGCGAATGAAACGGAACTAATTAACCGTGCTAGTCAAAATGTGTCAGGTAACAACACAATGAAAACAAATAACTAGCAAAGCAAACTTATAGTGCAATAGTGTACAAGTCTAATGTTCAGGAGCTCAGGTTTTCACGAGAACATTTTAATTTGTTTTGTTAAACGTTGATCCAATGTTTGAATATTCAGATTAATTTTGCGGCGTCGACTAAAATTAGATGCCACTAGTCAGTATAATCAAAGACCCTTTAAAACAAAAATTGGCGAATTCTATAGGAAAAGGTGTATTCTTTGGTATAATGGACTAAATTGGATAAATATGATAAACTATTAATCGAATTTAAACAAAAACTATGACTACAAGTAAACTTTTTTTCCCCGAATGTTTGGAAAGCCATGAGGGTGAGTATATGATGATTCCTTTTTGAGTCAACAACCCCCAAAAAATGATCACAGCACTGCTGATGAACTGAGAAGGTCTTCTCATCATTCCACTTGGATGTTTATTACAAAGTCAAAGCAACTACCAATTTTGTAGAAAGAAACTCTAGTGCATGTAAATACAGATATCTGTACATAAAATATAACAAAAGTCTTAAAAACGTACAGTGGTATATTTACAGTGCTACACGAGGAATGAGATGAAGCTTACTATGTAGTCTAGTTTGAAACGAACAAAACACAAATGAGCCAAACAAAACCCTTAGTACAATCGATTGGTCCATCTTTTTTGTATCTTTGTTTTTTTGCGTTGAGAGCTGATTGTCTTAGGTTTTATCTCATATCTGAAAAGGAAAGAAAAATGCTAAATGTCCATAGAGCAGCCAGAACATTTTCATAGACGAGCTGCTGCATACCGGCTCCTCTTTGAACCTAAGAGACTGTCATAGTGGCGTTTCTTCTGGAGACGCTGTCGAAAGGCAACCCTGACTCTCTGTCGTCAAAGTCCTCCGTGCCGTCGTTATGTAGCAGCTCGTAATTGGAGTGGTTGTGAGCTGCCATGCCATTTAATAAAGTGCCGTTCCTCTCGTCCTTCCTGATGGACACGGCCAATGTCGCCAAGCTAATGCTAACGTCCTTAAAGGCGTGCAGCAGGAAGATGCCCACGATAATCGTAACGAAGCCGCTCAGTGTGCCGATTATGTCATCGGTGCCCATGTGTCCCCATTCTTTGAACAATATGGCAGAGCAGGAGAGCACTGAGGTGGTGAAGAAGACGTAATAGATGGGCGTCACCAGGGATGTGTTAAAGATGTCCAGTGCTTTGTTCAGGTAGTTGATCTGTGTGCTAACACAAGCTATCAGGCTCAGCAGCAGCAGCCAGGCCAAAGGGTTTCGCAACACTGGCTTCCCAGCGATGGCCTCCTTAATGGTGATGCCCAATCCCTTCACGCAGGAGACGGACAGAGCACCAATCACAGAGCAGATGGTGATGTAGACCAGGATGTTGGTTTGCCCATGGCGTGGGCCCAATACGAAGATGAAGACGAGTGCTATGATGATGACAGCTGTCGCGAAGACCACGAAGCCTGGAGACAGATGGAAGAAAAGATGAGAATTATTGATTAGTTATATAAAGCAGTCAAAAGACTTTCAGAAGAATCCCTGAAGAAACACATGTTTAGTATCGATATAAATATGTAAACAACTGTTCAAAAGTTTGGGGGAAAAAAAGAAACTAATACTTCTATTCTGCAAGGACGCATTAAATTGATCAGAAGTGATAAAGACTTTTACACGGTTACAAATATTAATTTTTCTTTAAATTTGTCAGAATCCCGAAAAAAATTGATGACCATTCCCACCAAAATATTCAACAGCACAACTCTTTTCAACATTAACAAAAAAAAAAAAAAGCATATTTCTGAAGGATCATGTGACACTGAAGACTGGCAGCTGAAAATTCAGCTTTGCCATCACAGGAATAAATTAAATTTTTTAATATATTAAAGTAGAAAAAAATTACATTTGAAATTGTAATAATATTTTACAAAATAATACTGTTTTTAATGTATTTTTGTTCAAATAAATACAGCCCTGGCAAGCATGGGAGACTTTTTTTTAACAGTGTTCTTGTTACACATTACACGCACTTACTACAGTAATAGCAATAAGTTATGCATAATTACTTGCAAGTAACCCTACTCCCAACCCTATAGTAGGTACATATTGTTAATTTATATTACCTAGTTCTCAAATGCATAATTATTACACTGTAACAAGGACACCTTAAAATAAAGTGTAACCAAAAATTTTTCTGATCCCAAACTTTTGAAAGGTTGTGTAACTGCAATATTTCCCTTATCAAGACCACAATAATGCATACTGATATTAAAGAAGCCGAATTACTTAGCAACACTGCTGTTGCTGAATAAAAACAAGTTATTCACATTCCAAGGGCCAGTTGCATAAATACAGTCACTTTTTTTTTTTACTAACTTTCTAAGACTAAACCATCTTAGAAACTGACCCCAGGAGGTCCTTCATTGTCTTTACATGTCATAGCTTACCTGGATCAACCAGTTTTTTGGCCATGTCTTCCAGGCTGTCGATCTCCTCCTCTTGAGGCGCATGTATCACCATGGTAGTGGAGCCCAGGATACTGAGCAGACAGCCAAGCTTCCCGTGCAGGTTCAGCCTCTCTGTCAGGAAGTACGAGGACAGAACGGCACTGCAAAAGCAGACACGCAGTAAACCCTTAAAGGTATAGTTTACCCAAAAATAAACACTCTGTCTTTAGTGACGTGACATGTGGCCAAGTATGGTGACCCATACTCGGAATTAGTGCTCTGCATTTATCCCATCCAAAGCGCACACACACAGCAGTGAACACACACACACACACCGTGAACACACACCCGGAGCAGTGGGCAGCCATTTATGCTGCGGCGCCCGGGGAGCAGTTGGCGGTACGAGACTCGAACCCACAACCTTTGGGTTACTAGTCCGACTCTCTAACCATTAGGCCACGACTTCCCCCGAAACAAAAAAAAGAAAAAATCTTCCTCCTCCGAGGGCAGCGCTTGGAGGTTCACCACCTGATCCCTGAAGGGAGTAGTGGGAACCTTGGGCACATAGCCAGGCCGGGGCCTCAGGGTTACCTGGGAATCAGCCGGCCCGAACTCTAGGCACGAATCGTTGACCGAAAATGCGTGCAGGTCCCCAACCCTTTTGATGGAGGCCAATGCCAGCAGGAGCAAAGTCTTCATCGAAAGGAGCTTCAGCTCAACCGTCTGCAAAGGCTCAAATGGGCCCTGTTGTAGTGCCGTGTGCACTAGAGTCAGGTCCCAAGAGGGTATAGGGGGGGCCGTGGAGGGTTTAACCTTCTCGCCTTTATTTACTCACCCTTAATTAAAAGTACTGTCGTTTTTAGTCAAATTAATAACAAAGAAAGTGTGCCATACTTTAGAGATTGCATATTTTTTGCTAGTATTTTACTCAAAAAAAATCTACCCGATAAAATATTTTAGAATTTGGCATGCCAAGAAAAATTTATTTTCATAAATCATATAAATAAATTACCCATGGAAATGATTAATTTCATGACTTTTCCAGGTTTAGAAATCCCACAAAAAGTATGCAGAATTTTTAAGAAAGTTGCAACCCTGGTTCCCTGTTGTTGAGCGGGTGAGTTTATATTTTTAATATTTCTATTTTAGCTGTTTTAGATTATTTTAATGTTTGTTTGGTCTTAAATCATCTTAAAGCCCCTCAAGAAGTTTATTGTGAATATAAAGTAGGTTAGCTGAGACTTTGTGAACTATGTTGAAGCTTGTTTTTGTCCTTTTGAGAAGTTAATACCTTTAACACTTTGGCACTGAGCATTACAGAATGCAACACTTTGTGAAGCTGATGCTTGCAACCACTAAGATTATGGTCATACTTGGTTTAAAAACAACAAAAAAGGAAACCACAACAATTACTGCTAGACCACCCACACAAGTGCAAGACAGTAACATTTTCCCAAGCAAAGCTGCATTTCATACTTCCCACCTGCTGTCCCATTCAAATGTATTTGCACATTAACAATAGCAACAGGCTTTTATAATTCAGAGAAATTCACCAAAGGTTTACAGACCTGACTAGCACGCTGAGAGCCCCGAGAGGAGTGACGAGGGTGGCGGGAGCGAAGGCGTATGCAGCGAAATTGGCAGCTTCGCCGGCTCCCACTGTCAAAGCAGACAGAATTCAAATAGTTACTTCCAAGAAGCTGAGCCACAAACATGATAAATATATATTGTACGTGAACAGCTGCTTTGAGTTTGTCTTTAAGATGAAAATGAGTTGTTTCATCTGTGCCACTCACTTGATAACAAGCCAGCCCACCAAAGCCCTTCTTTTAAGTATGCGTGACCACCTTGACCTGGAAAGAGAGAGGATTCATTTTTCCACATTGTTCAACAATATGTCAGCAATATTGTGTATGACACATTTGCTATAATTAAATTGCACTGCATATCATATATCGGCCACCTTGCTCTCTAGTAGGGCTGCACGATTATGACAAAAATCATAATTCTCGATTATTCCTTTGAAATTGTAATTGTGATTATTAATTACAATTAAACGAATGATGTTTACACCTTTGTTTGAAGCAACTGCATGCCATATTTTTATATGAAAATAAACAAGCTGAAAACACTAACTGAAAAACGTTTATTGCTTTTCTATAGTATTAAGCCTTAAATGTCAAATATACATCGGATTGGTTTCTTCTTTAAATAAAAAGGTAAAAATATGCATGGTATTATAATGTTATACTAAAATTAAAACAATGGAAAAACCCTTAAGATAACATGTAGAAAGAAAAAAAGCATCTTAAGCACGCAGAATAACATACAGTAAGTGGACTTTGATGATTAATTGCTCCTTTGAACGATTATGTAATTGTGGCATCCGTAATTGTAATCGCGATTAGAAATTCGATTAATTGTGCAGCCCTACTCTCTAGATGTCAAACTCATTGATGACTACTTGGTACAGACATTATAATCCCTCAGAAATTATTGTAAATGTCAACAGTTAAACAACTAAATTGCTACAACAAGGTTAAAAGTAAATGACATCACAGTTTGCCAACACTGAACTTCATATCAACGCTAAACAGAGGATCAGTATTTCCTTAAAGGCACAATATGTAAGATTTTTTTATTAAAATATCCAAAAACCACTTGAACAGTGTTATATATTTTGCTGACTTGTGCACTTACATTATCCCAAATGTTTCGAAGAATGTTTAAATCTAGAGAAATAAATAGGGATGTAACGATTCACTCAACTCACGATTCGATTCATGATTTTGATTTCACAATTTGATTCACGATTTTTTTTTTTACAAAATGAGATTTAAGACAAATTATAAATTAAATGTGTCCTTTTATTATTGCTTGGACAAAATGTTGCACGTTTCTTTGTGAATTTGAAATATAACAATATAATAATATACTAATATAGCACTTGCATATTATTGCTCTTGTGTTGGTTTTGATTGTCCTCATTTGTAAGTCGCTTTGGACAAAAGTGTCTGCTAAATGACCATTTAAAAATAGCCTAATGTAAATAACAAAACTAAATTGAAATTTTAAAACAAGCCCCAAACCAAATAAGTAACAATTAAAAATAAATCTCTTCATATAAACAAACTAAGGCTTTGTCTGTGCTCTTTCCATTTAAAATGAGGCAACCACTGCATTTTAATCATGATCCAAACAAAGATGGTGCATACATGCAACATGAGCAGTTTCTAAATCTAAATTAGATTGTATAATTTCGAAATCTGAAGCAAAAACAGAATGATTTGACTTCAGTTTTGTAAAACTACACATAAAAATCTGTATGAAACAGAAACAGCAGACGAGCTGAATGAGACTGCAGATTCACTCTCTGCCAGCAGGTGGCGCTTAAAGCGTTTCCTTGGTTTCCGCTGTAAACAAAGCAGCACTGCACTTATGAACTTTAATATGCGTTATACAGAGGCAAGATGAAAAGAAAAAATACCATCTAAAAGTTCCCCTCAGACATGGATTCATATAAACTCCTACCCCTAACTGAATCGCGATTTGTTTAGCATCTCAACCGATTTGAATCGTCACATATTTGAATCGATTTTCAACCGGCTCGCGGTTAATCGTTACATCCCTAGAAATAAGCAATTTTAACAAGTGACACGGAGCGTGTCCATAGTGTCATTGTGTCGCCTGCCAATGACGTCATAACCCCTCGATTTCCTGGAAATGGAAACACCAAAGACGCTTTAATATGTTGTGCATTTTATTAGACCGGTGACGACCGCACCTCACCCTGCTTCATTCTACTACGTTAATAAATCATAAGCTCATCCAGGAACATGATTTCTGCCCGAGTCCCGTCGGATTGCATCGGCTGTGGGGATGAAGACGATAACTCCCATGATTCCACACTCAGTCACGGTGTCATCAAACTACGCCTTTGTTTATTTGTTTATTTTGAATATGCGCCCTCTAGAGGCAAAAATGACATATTGTGCCTTTAAGCTCTACAGGTTGTATTATGAAATACACTACTGTTCAAATGTTTGTATTTACGTTTTATTACAATTTTTTAAAAAAGATTCCCTGAATCGGCAACGCTGAATTTTCAGCATCATTACTCCAGTCTTCAGTGTCACATGATTCTTCAGAAATCATTCTAATATGCCGATTTGCTGCTGAAGATGCATTTATCATTATTATCAATGTTGAAAAACAGTTGTAATGTTTTTTCAGGCATGTTTGAAGAATTAAAAGGTCAAAATTACAGCAATTATTTGAAATAGAAATTGTTTGTAACATTAAAAGTCTTCACAGTCACTTTTAATCAATTTCATGCATCCTTACTGAATACAAGAAAAAAACATAAATTACAAATCATAATCTTGGAATTAAGTTCCAGTAAGTTCCTGGTTGGAAAAAAAAAAGCTTATACCATTTTTATAAGAAACACCACACACATTACAGCTCAAAAAATCTGAGGTTACATTCATGACAACACACACACACACACACACACACACACAGCTCAGAGGGAGAATGAAGAATGATAGTGTGTAATGGACAATAAAGTGACATCATATCATAAGCAGTACAGGAAATGGCACAATAAACCAAGCCGGCTCAAAGTCCTACTAGCTACATGTGTTGACATTAGGAAAATATTATCAGCACAGGGTTCAGCCTAGTGATAAGACTCACTTTGTTCAAAACCTTCATGACTTCCGTCTATTCCATACAATGAAAGTGAATGGTGACTGAGATTGTCATTGTGTGTGTTCACGGAAGTTAAGCATTTAGGTTTGAATCAATGGTGAGTGAATAATGACAGAATTATCATTTTGGGTAAACTGGCCCTTTAAGTCGCGAGACACGAGCATACAGCTGATCCAGCAAACTTTAGAGTACAATTAAGAGCTAACGTATTACGGACTCGAATAAAATCCCATGTCCATTTGAACCAAATATAAAGCAGTTATCTTATAAGAGTCAACGTTTGGTTGTCGCGAGATCTTCTTGACATGATCTCAATTACCTTATTCATACAGCCAAACCAAGCCGGATAGCCTAGCCAATTAGCTCCATAATTCACAGCAAAACACACGCGTGGCTAAAGGAGGTTATGAAGTCTTTCACAGTACCTCGCTGTTTACCTGTGATCAGCTCGACATCGTGTCCGGTCACTGAGATTTCACGGTTTTGACTTTCACATTTTCTCGCGACCATGAAATTCAGACGCGATGTTGACGCGAACCCAGGTACGTCCACCTACACTGTAGCGATGTCCGATTCGTGAGAGAATCATTCTTTTGAGTCGGATCTTTTCAAACGAATCAATCGTTCACCAAACAGTCTAAAGCAGGGTTCCTCAAATCTTGCCAATGCGCTGCAGAGTTTAGCTCCAACCCTGATCAAACTCAGCTACCTGTGATTGTCTAATGATCCTGAAGACATTGATTAGCATGCTCAGGTGGGTTTTAGATTAGGGTTAGAGCTAAACTCTGCAGGAAAGTGGATCTCGTGGGCCAGATTTGAGGATCCCTGGTCTAAAGTAAACAATTCGTCCATAAATTCGATTGATTCTTTTTTGTTTAATTGCCAAAGTGAAAATATACAAGAACAAATGCAAATGCTTTTATATTCTAGTTATTATAGTACATAGACTTATTATAGTACATATAACTAGAAATCATAAGCACAAATTATACAATAGATAAATAATAAATAAAGAACATAACAATTAAATATTGCATTTCGATCAAATATACAGCATCCTTTGACAAAATGACTTGACTTAACGCATAATTACGTCGTGACGTAAAAGAATCACTGAATTGTTCAAAAGAGCCGAAGAGCGGAAGTGAGTCGAATCAGTGAAAGAGTAAGCAGGCGCGCACGCGCGGAAACCCTCTTTTGATTGGTCTTTTGTCGTTTTACGTCTTGTTAAAGTCTTCTTTTCATGCGTTTAAACATTAAATTAACAAAATCACTGGTAAATAAAACACACCTTAGTATCGATATTTTTTGTTTGAGTATCGATACTTTCGATACTCTCGTCAGTATCGATATATCGATACTTTGGATCGATACGCCCATCCCTACATTGTAACCAAATGTAAACCGCGTTTTGATCATCTATGTGAAAATGAGTTGTAGTTGTAAATATCATAAATCTGAAAAGGTACTTTCCTCACCTAATATCAAGGTGTAAGAGTGCTTTATGTTGCGCTAGTGACGCTGATGCACAGGTAAACGTTGAGTCAGGTGCAGGAACCGTAGATAAACTACAGGAATCACTCTTGACACTAAAACTACTTCAATTCTACAGCTAATAAACACAAATATACAAGTTATAAACATACGTGAAAGTGTTTTCTTAATATGCAGTATGTGAAAATATAGATTGTACAAGCACACACAAACTCGGGTCTGATTTCATACGGCAAACATTCGCATCGTTTATTAAACGATAAAATCGCTTACAATATAACGTTAAAGATATTAAAATGGTAAACCGTAAATACAACAAAAATGCACTTAAGAGAATACATAAAATAATGCATAACTTACTCTGGGATTCAAATGATTTCAGTTCTGTGGTGGGACGGGATCAGGATGCAGGAGAGTCCTTCGACTAGGAAGCCAACTGTTGTGTGCAAAGGTAAGGAAAACAGCTCCTGCTGGCCGCCATCTTGCCATGCTTTCAATTACATTAAATTATTGATGGTAGACTGACCAAAACTGTCACCATAGAGTTACTCCCGACGGACATCCTGCCAGTGTTTATTTTTATATAAACATGGAAATCATTCATATTTTTATTTTATATTCATCTGGTTGAGTTAATATTTTTTTCAACAAATGTTATGTTTTTAAATGTGGGCATTAAAACCAAGATAACCTAATTATGTTAGCAAAAATTCGAGATAAATATGAATAAAACATGTTTATATATACACACACTATGTTGGAGAAATTGTATATATAATATATATATATGAGCAATAAATAAGCAATTAACCACTTTAT